AGGGGATATCTTTCCATTTTTTAATATCCTCCTCGATCTCTTTTTTCAGGGTGCTGTAGTTTTCAGTGTGGAGATCTTTTGCTCCTTTTGTTAGATTGATTCCTGGATACTTCATTTTTTGGATGCTACTGTGAAAGGAATTGTTTCCCTAATTTCTCTCTCAGTGAGTCTGTTATTTGTGTACAAGAAGGTATTGATTTTTGGGCATTGACCTTCTATTCAGCTACTCTGCTAAAAGTGTCAATTAAGGCTAGAATTCTTTTGGTGGAGTTTTTTGGGTCTTCAGTGTAGAGTATCATATCATCAGCAAATAATGACAGTTTAACTTCTTCCTTTCCTATCTTTATTGCTTTAATTTCCTTCTTTTTGACTAATTGCTACGGCTAATGCTTCCAGAACTATATCAAAGAGGAGTGGTGATAGTGGGCATCCTTGTCTTGTTCCTGATTTTTAGCTTGAAGGTTTTCAGTTTTGGGCCATTTAATATGATGGTGGCTGATGGTTTTTCATAGATAGCCTTTACTAAGTTGAGATATAGACCATCTATTCCAATTTTTTGCAGGTTTTTTTTTTTATCATGAATGAGTGTTGAATTTTGTTAAATGCTTTTTCTGCATCTATCGAGAGGATCATGTGGTTTTTGTCCTTGACTTTATTACTATAGTACATTACATTTATTGATTTACATATGCTGAACCATCCTTGCATCCCTAGAATAAATCTGACTTGGTCAGGATGTATGATCTTCTTGATGATCCTCTGTATTCTGTTTGCTAGTATCTTATTAAAGATTTTTGCATTAATATTCATTAAGGAGATTGGCCTGTAGTTCTCTCTTTTAGTTGCATCTTTCTCTGGTTTGGGAATCAAAGTGATACTTGCTTCCAGGATTGAATTTGGAAGTATAGCTTCCCTTTCAATTTGATTGAACAGTTTGAAGAGTAATGACAGTCATTCTTCTCTAAATGTCTGGTAAAGTTCAGCAGTGAATCCATCAGGGCCTGGGCTTTTCTTTCTTGGTAAATTTTTAATAATATTTTCAATTTCACTGACTGTAATTGGGGTGTTTAAAATGTTTTTAATCTTCTTTGTTCAACTTTGGTAATTCGTATCTAAAAATCTGCCCATTTCTTCTGTGTTTTCCATTTTATTGGAGTACAGTTTCTCAAAGTAGGTATTCATGATCCTTTGGATTTCTTTTGGATCTGTTGTGACTTTGCCTTTTTCATTCTTGATTCCATGGATCTGAGCCTTTTCTTTCCTTTTTTGATAAGATTAGCTAAGGGCTTGTCTATTTTATTTATTCTCTCAAAAAACCAATTCTTCAATTCATTTATTTTTGTATCGTTTTCTTTGTTTCTATTGCATTGATTTCTGCTCTAATTTTTATAATTTCCTCTCTAGTGTGAGCTTTGGGTTTTTCTTGCTCTTGTTTTTCAAGGAGTCTAAGATTCATCATTAAGTTGTTTATTTGAGCTTACTCTATTTTCCTAGTGTGGGCATTTAGTGCTATGAATTTTCCATGTAGAACTGCTTTCATTGTGTCCCATAGATTCCTGTATGTTGTATTGGCATTTTCGTTTATTTGTAAAAACTGTCTGATTTCTTCTTTAATTTCCTCTGTGATCCATTGATTGTTCTGGAGAGTGTTGTTCAATTTCCATGTGTTTGTGAAGTTCCTACAGTTTCTTATGCTATTGATGTCCAGCTTTATTGCACTGTGATCTGATAATATACAGGGAATAACTTCAATTCTTTTGCATTTATTTAAACCTATTCTATGAGCTAGTATGTGATCTATCTTGGAGAATGACCTATATGCAGTTGAAAAGAATGCTTATTCTGATTTTGTGGGGTAGAACACTCTATAGATGTCTAATAATTCCATGTGTTCAAAAGCTTGGTTTAGTTGTAGGATTTCATTGTTGATTTTTTACCTAGATGGTCTGTCTATTTGTGATAGTGGGGTATTCAGATCCCCCACTCTGATTGCATTAGTGCTTATTTGGTTTTTCATGTTACTTAATATTTATTTTATGTAGTTGGGGGCATTTATATTTGGTGCATATATGTTTATGATTGTCGTCTCTTCATCTTGAATTGTTCCCTTTACAATTATGTAGTGGCCTTCTTTGTCTGTCTTAATCAGTTTTGGTTTGAAATTACTTTGTCTGCAAATAAGACTGCTATCCCTGCTTTTTTCTGGGCTCCTGTCACATGGAGAATTGTTTTCCACCCTTTCATTTTCAGTCTATGGGCTTCTTTTTGCACTAGTTGTGTTTGTTGTATACAACATATTGTATTTTGCTTCTTAATCCATCTTGCCAGTCTATTTCTCTTGAGTGGTGAATTGAGGCAATTGACATTGATGGTTATAACTGATATGTACTGACTTCTTATTGTCATGTTATTGTCCTTTTGTTGACTCTTTTTAATTTTTTGCCCTCTCCTTTTAGTTTCTTGCCTTGACTATTTGATTTGCTCTGTTGGGCCTCATGGTATTGTGATCTTCATTGTCTTTTTCTAGGATATTGTTTAGAATTCCATGTTGTGCTGGTTTGGTATTCATGAAGTTTCTCAGGTGTTCTTTGTCATGGAAGTATCTTATTTCCCCACCCATTTTGAAAGAGAGTTTTGCAGGATACATCAGTCTAAGTTTGAGATTGTTATCTTTTAGGACTTGAAATACAAGGCTCTCCTTGACCTGAGGGTTTGTGTTGAAATGTTGCTGTGATTCTGATGGGCTTTCAGTTGCATGTGATTTGTTTCTTTTCTCTTACTGCTTGTAATATTTTGTTCTGCTGTTGGGTTTCTGGGATCTTGATTATTATATGTCTAGGTGTAGATTTTTTTTAAATCATGGCTAGTTGGAGTCCTATATGCTTCACTTATCTGTATGTCATATTCTTCCCCTCTGTTTGGGAAGTTTTCTGTCATTAATTCTGAGAACAGCTTTTTTGAGTTGTTTGCGTTTTCTCCTGGTACTTCATGAATTCCTATCAGTCTTATTTGATTCTTCTTTGCATCATCTAGGAGTTGTTGGATCGATTTCTCATGATCCCTTACTGTTTTTAAGATTCCTATCAGTCTTATTTGATTCTTCTTTGCATCATCTAGGAGTTGTTGGATCAATTTATCATGATCCCTTACTGTTTTTAAGAGACCTCTCTTTTCACAGTCACTGTTTGCGATCCTATCTTCTATAGCTGAGATTCTATCTTCGCATTCTTTTATTCTGTTGCATACACTTTCAATAGAGTTTTTAATCTCCTGGATATCTGTTTGAATGTGTTTAATGGATTCCATTCCTTTCCTATGTTGGGTGTTCATTTTTTCCATTTCTTTCTTATGCTGGTCTTTCGTGGCTTCTATTATGGTCCTGAGCTCATCTATTTTTTTGTCAGTTTCTGTTCTTGAGTCTCGAATCATTACTTTCATTTTGTCTGTGAAATTATTTCTGTTTTGAATTTTTCTAGAGCCTGATTGATCAGTTTTGTAACTTCTTGTCCTGTGAGTTCTGAGTGTCCTGGAGGTTCACTATCAGACTTTTCATCCTCCTTTGCCCTACTGTTTGCCATTGGTGAGCAGGAAGTCTGTCTTTGTGTCTTCTTACATGTTTTTTCATTTTTATTTTTGCTGTTAGTTTGTCCTTGATTCAATCTCTGGGTTCTTAAATCTTCCTGATATCGTTGTGCTTCAGCCCCCAACTCTCTGACAACTCATAGACATTCTCACTTGCTGGCTGGTGCTGGAGGAGCAGCTGGAGGAGCAGCAATGGTGCCCGCAAGGGAAGGCGTGGCTACCGGGACCCATGGGCTAGGCCCAGGCTCCAATAAACTAATTTCAAAGAAAGGAACGTGCCTATTAAATGATTCTAGATAACAAACTGAAATGGAAATAGTAATATTTTGACTCTAACAAATTTTTTTAAATCTGCAAAGTAATAAATTAAGTCAGAAATTTTTTTTCACCATCGAAAAGTATAATTTAAAAAGCATAACGGTATTCTGTCTTTATTTCAAATTTTCAATTTCAGTTTGTGTTATTCCTTGAATCTTTCAAATGACCAGTAGTCGCTTGTTAGGTAGCATCTCGTGTGCACACTTGACCTATCATCAAGAAGCAATAGCATCTTTACACTGAAGCATTCAGGATCATGTAGTGGAAGCTTTTCAGTCTCAGGATACCCAGAAGTGAGACCTCATAGGCTTCTTATTATATTAGCTGATCCCATGCACATCAAAGGATACTGTACAGCAAGATACATGCATTTTCTCACTTGATTCCTTCAGTAGGTAACTGTCATTCTTGCTCTCTCAAACATTACAAATCTGGTGCTTTAGAGGTGAAATGACAACAGACCAAGAGACCAGAGTCTGAACCTAGATGTCCTCAAGACCAAAGCCAATACTTCTTAGAAATGTGCACACGAGAGGATATGCACATTTGTGGAGAGATATAAGGATTTGATGCCCCACTGCTCATTCATAGAAATATATGATCTCATTTGCAATGTCTTCACCTCAGAACTTGATAGACATTAGAAATATCAAACTTCCACAGACCTAAGAGCCAAACCACACAGCTATTGAACTCCTGGAAGTACTGCTCCAGGGTTATGCACTGTCAGATCCATCCCGTGTGTAACAGAACAGGATACAATAGGAGACTATTCAAAATTTTGGAGGAAAACTACCCAGAATTTAGAAAAATAATCAGGAAAGAGTCCAGATGAACTTGTAAAAGATTTTTAAACCTGAAGCATCTATGCTAGGAGCCTTAGTGTTTTGATTATTAACAATGTCAGAACAACATTGTTCTTCCCTTGCTCTGGACTGAATTGAAGTATTCTTTCCAAGAGCAGCTGTTCTGTCCCCTTTCTCTGTCTGCACAGATACTCTGGCCTCACTGCAGTGGGGCTCTGAGGTGAGAGTCAGGGAGTGGCCTTGCCCTGTGACACTGCCCAACTGCCCATCACAAGCCCATCCCTCAAGACACACCTTACTGTTGAGGATCTGGAAAACTCTCTGCTGGAGTGTTTGGCCGGCCTTGGACCTCACAAGGATGTAAATGATTTTCAGATCTGGGCTGGTACGAAACAGCTTCTCCATCAGCACTTTTCCCAGGAAGCCTGTGGCGCCTGTGATGAGAATGGATTTGCCACCATAGAAAGCTGCGATCATCGACATGATTCCTCCTTTCCCTGGTTACAGCACTAGAAAGAGGTTCCTGCAGAGGAAGAGAAATCACAAGCTGTTGTATTCTCACAAGTTTCAAAATGCAAAGTCACTCAAAATGTTCCTCTCCCACACTTCCAGAAGCTCCGAAGGCAGGAAAAAGAGGCTGGACTGCGACAGGGTGTCACGGTTTACCTCAACACAAATCACTTTGATGGATTCCAACTGACCCACTCCATGCACAGCCCTCTATACCAGCACCCATGAGAGAGAAACGGCCAAGACATGGCTTCTGCTGTCAGCCTGAGGGAGGAGATGGGCGCATAGAGGGATTGCTGAATATAAATTGTTGAGGACTAAGACAATGGGCACACAGACAAGGGACACCGAGTAGGACCTGAGGGTTCAGAACGGTCTGTGTACATGTCGACAACCTGCTGAAATGTGAAGCTCTGGAAGGCAGGGAGGAGGTGTTCCCAGAGGAAAAGTATGAGAGTGGTCCCTCAACCCAGGAAGTCCAACCTGAGAAGAGCTGTCATGTTTTAAGAAGAAATGACTCAATTGGTGTTTCACTGAAGGCTCAACTAGAGAAAATACTGGAGGAGATCACTGCAGTTCAGCCAGACTAACTGTTCCCGTCCTGTCCAGCCTTTTCTGAGCACGTGTGTTATTCTCCTCCTTGAACTGAAAGTGGGTTGGGTGCTAGTTTGTCCTTCATCTGTCACTCCTGGCTTGAACCACCAGGGGAAAAAAGCCAGAAGAAGTTGAACAGGGGAATCCAAGACCATGTGTTTTGGTGAGCCCCAAAACAGCACTGAGTGCAACCTGGGGCTCAGTCTACTTAAGGCTTCTGTTTCTAGGAGAACAGGATGAGTTGGCACAGCAGGAGTGGAATGCAGCACCTAGGCTCTGTTAACCCAAGAGAAGGCACCACATCTGTAAAAAATGTAACACAAAGTGTTTTGTCTTCAAGTTCAACTGGAGACTTGAATCAGATGCAGTAGCAGAGCGGAACAGAAATGCACTGTGGTGTACAGGAGGAGGTTTGCCTTCTGTTTACCGTGTCAGTGGTGAGAAGTCCTCAGTGCTTCCCAGACAGGGCCCTGCAGAACACAACTCCATCAGGGATGGGCCCTGACAGCAGAGCTTGTAGAGAAGAGAAAACTGACCAAACAAGGTCAACATCCTTTCTCCTCAATGCTGGCCAGGAACGCTCTGCTAATAACTTCTTTACTATTAACTGCTTTTCCGGGTCATAATTTACATTTTGAGGACTGTGTGGCTATGTTCTTGGGTAGAACTCTGCTTTCATGGGATTCATTCACTCATGAATTTATTCAATACATAATTTTAAGCCATTACTATGAATAACTATGCTATGTTCTGACGATGAGCAGAGGAACAAGGAACATAGATCCCTGCTTCCACTCTGGCAGTGGAGGCCAGCAACACAAAGCCAGATCTTTACAAACTCACTGAACAACAGAAAACAAACTCTATGAAATGCCTATGTAAAACTCTCCAAAACCCAATTCCTGTGTGTTACATCTTTGTGAGGTCCAGGAATTCTTAACCTTTAATATAATTAAAAATAAAAGGAATCATTTTTTAAAAAATTGAAATAACTTTACTGTCAGTAATGGAGCAGATGCAATGCTAGAAAGAATATGTTTAGCATGACATCCTGGGGCATAGTCTGCCTTCCATAGCTTTCCAAAGTAAAAGATAACTGGCTGTGTCTCACGCTCATAAGATGGCTTGTGAGAAGTGCAAGTCAGAATGTCAGCCTCCCACTCTTCCTGGTAACAGGCTATCTAATGCTTGAATGAAGAAGAGCCCCACCAGAAGAGAATCATTTTTATTGACTGACTACTACATATACCACAGGCACTGTGTAGGCAATGGAAATAGCAGCAAATATCCCTTATGTATCTTAGAGTCTATTAAAAAGGGTTGTTTTACATTGACAAATTATTGCATATCAGCTGAGAGCTTTCATTTCTATTCTGGAGTATTTTTTTCTACTACTAAGGATCACTAGTTTTCATGGTCATGAATAGAGATAAATAATGTTTATATTTTTCTTTGGCAGTAAAATGAGGCTGTTCTCATTTCCAGAGGACAGATGTTAAAGTAGCAATCCATTATAATGATTCAGATTGTACATTTGTTGCACATTTCAGTACATGGAAACTTTTAATTTCCTTCAGTTGGCTCTTGTAGAAAATTAAAAGTTAGGGCTCAAACACTTAAGGAAGACAAGTTTATGCAAATGTCTTAGTAATCATTTTGTAAGTCTGGATGATTAAGTGAATCCCACTGTTGCTTTGTTGAAGAGTCAAGAATGCCATACACTGCAATGTGCTCCATAGAGACAAACAGAGTTTTGGTTGGCAATGGGCTAGTTTATTTAAAGAAATAATCATAAGTCAAACTTGTGCTTCATTAAAGTTAGACACAGAAATCCTTTCAATAACTATGTCAAATTAATTAAGGAGAATTATTTACAAAATCATATTCAATGTAAAAAGAACACAAACTTGTATAAACATAATGTCCATGACAAACCCTTGGAATTCCATTGGCAGGGAAAGAAATAAATAAAAGTAGGTGGATAATACCGTGGCAGGATTAAAGATAAAGATTTTTTTGTTCTGTATAGGTAGTACCTTGTCATAATTATAAAAATGTCATTTAATAATATATAGTTTTAAAAGAACTTCTTAGAAATTAGTGACAAACAGAAGTTTTTCAGTCTCCCCTTTTTCTATGGTCTCTAGAAATGTAAAGAAATTTGCAAAACACACATCCTCAGTTTAAGATATTTTCAGTTTCCCACCCCATCCTGTTACTGGAAGTTAAACCCAGGACCTTCACATAGTACTACATCCCCAGCCTTCTTTTAGCTTTAATTTTGAGATATGATCTTGCTAAGCTGCTAAATTTCCCAGGTCAGGTGCCTACCTCAGCTCCTGAGTAGCTGGGATTACAGGGGTGTGCCCTGCTTCAGATGTGAAGTTACTTTTAAAAGTGTGGGCCACCTAACATCTCACACTGTTATGACACATATTTCCTAAGATTTGTGTGTTGAAGCTCTAGTCAGTGAAGTGGTGATGCTTGGAGGTAGGGCAATGGGGAGAAAACTAGGCTAAATAAAATCAAAAGGGTAGGCCTTAATGTTACAGAACCGATACCCTTTAAGATGGGGAATGGAGGCCAGAGAGCTCCATATCCATGCACAAGAGGAGACCACATTCTGCATGCTAGAAAGGTAGGCCTCATGTTGCCTCCACCTTGGTCCTGGACTTCTCACCTATAAGTAAATAAATATAAGCTGTTTAAAGTCCCAAGTTGTTGATGTTTTGTTAAAGCTATTGGAATAAGCTAAAATACATGGATATACATGAAAAAAGACATGTGCGTGCTTTTGATTGTTGAGTGAAATAACTCTTTGTAATTCATGTAATTCATGGTGGTAATTCATGCCAGCTTTGAAATTGGAGTGAACTTTATAATGAAGAGAGTGCACTGGCCTCATTTTCCCACTTTGTAGCATGACAAGATAAGATTGGCCTGGTTTCCACACATGTGTGATAGGGTGGACTACAGAGACCTTATACACTCGCATGTCAGTCTTATCCCTATTTGTCTAGCACTCAGTAAAAGACAAGTCTTCATCAGAAATCTCTTTCTTTGAATGGCTTCAGTTTCCCGAGTGTTATGCAATTCAGCAGTGAACTGAGGAGCCTTCATTGTGGTCTTCTCAGTAAGGTTTTCTGGGGGGAAACGTGGTAGAAGTATTGTAAACCCCATGGGTACTGAGGGGGTGGCTGCTGGGAAGAGGCCCAACTAATTGGATTAATGGTGCTCCAGGGTCAAGAAAAAAGAATTTGGAAACAGTCCCAAGTGGGAGGACAGTTCCCATTGGCTTTAAAGAACACCAACTTTAGCAATCAGCTCAATGCATTCTTCCTAGCTTCTTTTGGTTAGCTCATTAGTGAGCCTTAAAAAAAAAAAAGACAAGTCTAACAGAAATGCAAAAGAAAAAGCTGAAACAAAATTGATCATTTCAATACAATTCATTAAGCCCATGTATTGAGTACTATGGCCGGCACTCTGTGAGGTGTGAGTAGTGAATGTGCAAATATTACTGTTAATTGGAAAAGCATTATAAAATTATGATGTATTATTGTATCTAAGAGAGGGGTTAAACATGAATCTTCTTGTAAAGATTATAAAATTGTACAAAGAGAGCCACAGTCAAGTGTAAGCTTGATGTTTCCTATTTTCTCTTATGATTTATAAATTGAGTCAGATTACAGTAAAATAATTATTGATCTGTTAGCCCAATGAGAACAGAAATCCAACTGAATGACTAGAAAGTTGATACATGTTTTAATAATTTGCTTAGAATTAAAGACTTTTAAAAGAGATGACACGAACTATCACTGTATAATGCAGGATTCTCCAGAAAAATAACCAAAAAGGTGTGTGTGTGTGTGTGTGTGTGTGTGTGTGTGTGTGTGTGTGTGTGTTTGGAGGCAGGGGAAGCACAAAGATAGAGAGGATGAGAGATGGACATTTTCACTGTAAGACATTGTCTTATGGGTTTGTAAGTCTAAATCTATAGGGTTAGCCAAAAGCTAGAGACCCAGGAAAGACCTGCTATTCAGGCCCAAAGGCTGTTTGTCGCTAGCATTTCTTCTTGCTCTGAGGAAGCATGTCTTTATTTCACTTCAACATATTGGATGAGGTCTATCCCACATGATGGAAGGTAATCTGCTTTTCTCAAAATCCACCAATTAAAAAAAAATTCATCCAAATACTGTCTTTGTAGAATCATCCAGAATAATGACTGATCAAAGATTTGGCACCATGGCCTCACCATATTGACAGAGGAAAATTAACCATCACGACGCTACCCTCTGTCAACTTGGCACCATATTCACCCCTTTTAATCATATGGAACCTCCAGTTGGGTAAAGTAACAAGGCAGTAATTTCACCTAACATAACACAACTATCCTGCATATAACCAAAAAACACTATCC